TGTATTTTTAGTAGAGGTGGGGTTTCGCCATGTTGACCAGGCTGGTCTCCAACTCCTGACCTCGTGATCCACCCGCCTTGGCCTCCCAAAATGCTGGGATTACAGGCGTGAGCCACTGCACCTGACCAACCATTCCCTCTTTCTTGAAAATTCTTTTGACCTCTGTGGCAGTGCTGTCGCCTGGCATCTCTCTTACCTATCTCCATCTACTCCTCCTTTGAAGGCTTGTCCTGTCTTCACACCCCTTAAATCTTGGTCTTCCTAAAGGACCTGTCCTTGACCCTTGTCTCTTTCTACACTACCCCTTCTTCCTGATTTCCCTCCACTCACATGGTTTCACATAGCATCTACAGAGCTGTCCACTCTACATTGCCATATACCTTGGATATTTCACAAGCATCTCAAGCTCAATATATCCCAATGAGCTCACTCTCTATCCTCACACTGGACACCCTGGGTGCATGCACATATCCTCGTGACTCAATTTTTACCCCATGCCTGTTGCAACAAACAACTTTACACAGGTATAATGAGATTACACCTCACCTCAGCTATCCCTCACATCATTGCTCCCTTTTCCCAGAGTTTGTCCAAACCTGCAGTAGGAGATGACTACAGATGCCCGTGGTGTTCATGCAGCAATACTTGACCAATGGGGGTGGGAGCTGGCCTATAGATGCTCCCACTTCCATATCAGGAGCAGAAAATCCTGAGGCTCAATCAGTATGATTCAGGTCTCAATGGGATCAAGACTCATTGCCCATAGCAATGACCAACTTGATTACATTAGATATTGGGTTTTTCTCCTTCCCATCTTTTTTTTTTTTTTTTTTTTTTTTGAGATAGAGTTTCGCTCTTGTTGCCCAAGCTGGAGTGTAGTGGTACGATCTTGGCTCATTGCAATGTCTGCCTCGAGTTCAAATGATTCTCCTGCCTCAGCCTCCCAGGTAGCTGGAATTACAGGTGCCCACCCCCATGCCCAGATAATTTTTGTTTTTAATTGAGGTGGGGTTTCACCATGTTGGCCAGGCCAGTCTCGAACTCCTGACTTCAGGTGATCTACCCGCCTTGGCCTCCCAAAGTGCTAGGATTACAGGCATGAGCCATCGTGCCCAGCCCTCCTTCTCTTTTTGATAGATACTTACTCTCATTAAGGTAATGAGCAATCTCAGTATTTTAGTTATTTAAATATTGCTTTATTAGATTGTAATTTAAAAATTTAAATATCTTGGTGGTAGAATAGTAAACTGCTGGTGTATTAAATGGAGTTAAATTTACACTGCTGTTACTGGGTCAATATAATGCATATAGAAAATTATGTGCTAGCCAGATCAATGGCTGCATGTCAGCCAAGAAGTGATTTACAAATATCTTTCAATATAGAAACAAAGTGAAGCACAAAAGTAGCTACACTGGACCCCAGTTCATGAACTTTTCTGTAACATCTGCGATAGTTAACTTCCAGAATCTGGCAAAAATTAGCTGGGTGTGGTGGCGGGCGCCTGTAATTCCAGCTATTCAGGGGGCTGAGGCAGAATAGCTTGAACCCAGAAGGCAGAGGTTGCAGTGAGCCGAGATCGCACCATTGCACTCCAGCCAAGAGCGAGACTGTTTCAAAAACAAAACCAAAAAACAAAAAAACCCCCACAAAACTGGATAATGAAATGATTTCTAAACTTGATTTTTCACATAGTAAATTTAAAATAGTATTTTATTCCAGTCAGCACTGATCTACCTCACCATTGTAATGGCTGCAGGATATGACATTGAAAATCAGCATACTTGTCTAATGGCTGGCACCTGGTCTTTGCTTTGTTCTTGAGCTCTCTGTGTATTATGTAAGACTTGCAGAGGGGGTTATTCTTAGAAATGCAGGCCTAGGGAGGAGGGGGTGGGTGTCCCTGAGCCCAGAAGCTGGCCAACCCTCCCGCTGGCCACTCTGGCATCCTGACACCCCAGATACACTTCTGGGATCGGTGGGCCTGCCAATTGTCTGTGCCAGGCTGCAGTGCCCAGCTTTCTTCATCTCTCATATTCTCACCATTGCAAAGTTCTCTAGCATTGCCAGCCATTTTTTATTCATAGAATGCTTCTGTGCCTTTGTGTGGTAAGCATTCAATTCTCTCTTAAAACTTATCTGTCATCAGTAATATTATTTCTTAAAACTTTAGAGTTTGTCATCAGTAATATTTCATTTCTTTGAAACTCCTTTTAAAGCTTGTCATCAGTGATATTATTTCATTTCTTTGAGGCTCAAACCCCTACAAACACTATCATTTTTGCTTTACACCTTAAGAATGGTGATATTCTTCCAATTTGATCAATTTCTGATTCCAAGATTTGATCCTACTAATAGCTACTGAGTGAAGCCAAAACCTCAAAATTTATGGTCTCCACTACTGCATGCCATATTGGGATATATCAATTAAAAGGTAAAACAGCCCTTTCCTGTTTTCAGAAGGAAGTGGAAGTATTCCACATTAAAAAAAAAAAAAAGCTCTGATCACCAAATCTAAAACGGAAAACTGTCAAATTCATATCCCCACTGCTTCCATTACTACTGTGCTCAAAAGTCCATTATCTTTTCTACGAATAATTAAGTAAAAAAGATGTCCATTGGAATCCTGAATTTGTTCCAATCTTATCTTGCTGAAAGTGGTAGAATGCATTAGGAAAATACTTGACCTTCAATTTTTTTTTTTTAATTCAGAACTCCTAGAGACAGTCATCAGCCAAAAGTTTACCAAGTCTCTTTTATTTTCTACTTAACATTGTTTAGCAGTATCACATATTATCCACACCCATAGATTCTGTTATGTGTTTTTCCTCAAGTTGCTTTCAAAAGTCCACACATCAAGTCTTCCCTGCCATTCATCTGCTCTAGGGTGAACAGAGTAATAGGGGAGGATCTGTTTGGTAATTCAGCTTCTCAAATCTGACTTGAACTTCCAGAGGAAATTCATCTCAATCCACTGGGATTCACAGAGAACAATCTAATTCCAGACAGCCTTTCAGAACCAAGTCCTTTTCTGAGCTTCACCCTAAGCAAAAAGCAAAATAATGCAAATGCCTAGAGTCAAGGTCATCTAGTGCCAATCTTTCAATAAAAATAAAAATATAGGACTGGGCCTAGGGAATAGAAGAGTTTTGGGAGTCAGGAAGTAAAGTTCAGCAATGGGGATCATGTTAAGGCAGACCTTAAATATTCAGGTAATTTTTCACCAAACAGGGAGCTAGTTTAGGTCTTGAGAAAGGCAATGATGGGCAGAAAGGGGTCATTTGCAAAGACTGGCTTAACAGTAATATGGAAAATGTAACCATGACAGAGGCTCTTGGTATTAACCAACTATCCAGGTGCTTGTTTACTTTCCTAGCTTCCAGGTGCTGGGTTCTGGCTTATTAGATGTGGACAGAAGTGATGTTAAGCCTGGGTCTAAAAAAATACACTACAAATTCCTCTGGCTTTCTCTTCCTCCCTTGTGGTAACTTTGGAAGCCAGATGTTCCAACTAATGAGGATAAAAATGAGACAGATTAGTTCCTGTCAGGTTTTAAGAGAGACACAGCTCTCTGTGGGCTTGTTACTGTATCATAGCTTAGCGCATCCCTCTTCAACAATAAAGCAGGAAGAACTGGAATTAGGAAGCTACTGCTGCCAGGAGTGGAAGCTAGGGATGATAAAAGTACAAGCTGGGCTATGAATTCAGAGAAGGTATGTGAATCTAAAAGGTATTTTGAATGGAGAGAATTTGGTAAGCAGAAAAGTCATTCACTCAAATATTTATTGAGCACCTATTAGCAAGGCACTGTGTGAGATACAAAGACTTGTAAGTCAACCTCCAAGTGCTTACAATCTAGTTGCGAAGACAATACACATAAATTATAAAACAAGGAATCGAGCATAATGGTAAAGAGAATAGACTTTGAAGGTGGACCTAGCATCACCTCCTACCAGCGGGGTCACCTTGGGCAAGTGATTTAATCTCCCTAAACCTCAAAGTGCTCATCTGTAGATGAAGATGGTAACAGTACCTACTTCATAGGGTTGGTGACAGGATCAATTAATCTACTTACTGTAAAACCCTTAGCTGAGTCTTTACCCCATTGTAAGCACTCAGTAAGTGCTAGCTACTAGCAGTGGAAGTAAGAGATCTAAAAACTGGGACACAAAGAGAACAAGGTTAGTGCCCCAAAAAGCTCCAAGAGAGGGACTAAGCCATCAAAACAACTGTTCTGAAACACGTGCTGCTTTGTTGCTGTTTTGCCTTTCCCTCCAGATACTTAAAGTGCAGTGATACCTGGGGCCTAGGTTTTCACAAAAGGTATGCCTCCTCCTAACATCTATCCTATTGTCTGACGCAGAGTCATTTCCATGGCCTCCCTTACAGTTCTACAACACAGCAGGAAGGGAGTGCTTATTAAACACTCTGGCGCAGAAGCAGGACAGGACAACGGCAGCCAGAGTGGGTAGAATGAGCAAATAGAGGCTTTAAGATAGAGGAGACCTATCTCAAATTTGTGCAGAAGTTCTTGTCTAGTCCAAGCTTTTGCCCAACTCAGTCTATTCCCTGTTTGGCGTAACGCCGTTGATGTTGAATAACTGATGATTTTGAGCTGAAAACTTTGCCACACACGCTGCATTCAAAGGGCTTCTCTCCTGTGTGGACACGCTGATGCCGCGTGAGGCGGCAGCGCTGGCTGAAGGCTTTCCCGCACTCACTGCATTCATATGGCTTGTCTCCAGTGTGGATCTTCTGATGCTGTGTAAGGGATGAGCGGTCAAAGAAAGCTTTACCACACTCGTTACACTGATAGCGAGGGTCCCCAGTGTGAGCTTTCTGATGTCTATTCAGTGACGAGACACCATAGAAAGCTTTCCCACACTCATTACACTCGTAAGGCTTCCTGCCAGTGTGGATTAGCTGATGGCGAGTAAGAATGCTTTTCTGGCTAAAGGCCTTCCCACACTGATGACATTCATAAGGACTTTCTCCAGTGTGAATTCTCTGGTGTCGAGTAAGGGATGAACGGTCAAAAAAGGCTTTTCCACACTCGTTGCACTGAAAGGGCTTCTCTCCAGTGTGAATTCGCTGATGCACAGTTAGGGACGAGCGGTCAAAGAAGGCTTTTGCGCACACGCTGCACTCATAGGGGCTCTCCCCAGTGTGTGACATCAGATGTCTGCTGAGGCTGCTTCTGTGGCTGAAGGCTTTCCCACACTCGTGGCAGTCGTAGGGCTTCTCCCCAGTGTGAGTCCTCTGATGGCGGGTGAGGGATGAGTGGTCAAAAAAAGTCTTTCCACAGTCACTGCATTCCTGCTGTCTCTCTTTAGTGGGAAACTCCTTGGGGAAGGCAGACCCTCGCCGTGAGCCTTTCTCCTGGGAGAGGGATTTCTTATGAGTCTCCCCTGTCGGGCTTTTCTTTTCTGTTCCCATCCTGCTGTCGGGTGCATGAACTTCAAATTTAGGACACAGAGGACTTTGCCTTCCAAGACTTTCCCTCAGTGATCCTTCTGCTTTTTCTTCGGAAGCATCATAAATTTCAGGCTTAGTTTCCCAGTCTAGAACAAACAGAAGACAGATGCTGTTTTTTTTCCTAGACCAGGAAATTAAAATTAGAGCAGAAGGAGGAGATGTTCCAATGAGTCTGAAAGTAATGTATGGTCACTGCATTGCTTGCTCCCACAGATAGCCTTACACTGAAGGAAGGCACCGAGACCTGGGAGTGAAGAGGTGGCAGGGAACAGAGTGGATGATGGACACCTCAAAAAATAGGAGAATGTCCAGTAGGAGCATGGCCACGACAATTAGGAGAGCAAGCCGAATGGACAGGACAGTGCTCGATAGAAATAGCAAAGTGTGAGTGGGCAATGTTACAGACATGAGAAAGTAACACTTGGTGAATACAGATGAATAGTACGTTAAGGTATAGAGGGAAAAAAATGAAAGCTGGTGGGTGGTATACAATAAATAATAAAGCAGAAGACTTGAACTTGAGAGAAAGGTGATACCTGATATTGCCGCCATCACCCAAATAACCAACAAAAAGCCAAAGAAAACTCCATCCTGTCCTGTTCACACTCAGTTACCTAGAGAGACACTCTTTGGCCATTCTGTCTCCACAGACCCATGAAGATCTACCATCCATGGCTCGTCCCCTCTCTTCAATTGGAAAATCATATCAGGTTGAGGAACTGGAAGGCCTGCTCAAAGAGAAAGAAACAAAGCAGATGGCTGCATGTGATGAAAATAGCATCACTCTCCCAAAGCTCAATCCCAGCCTCTAAGTCTTTTTTGTTGTTGTTGTTGTTGAGATAGCATCTTGCTCGGTCACCCAGGCTGGAGTGCAGTGGCCTGATCTCAGCTCACTGCAACCTCCACCTCCCAGGTTCAAGTGATTCTCCTGCCTCAGCCTCCCAAATAGCTGAAATTACAGGCGGGTGCCACCATACCTGGCTAATTTCTATATTTTTAGTAGAGACAGGGTTTCACCATGATGGCCATGCTGGTCTTGAACTCCTGCCCTCAGGTAATCTGCCTGCCTCAGGTTCCCAAAGTGCTGAGCCACTGTGCCTGGCCACAGCCTCTAATCTTTTAGGAAGAAAATGCAAAAGGCAGATGGCGCAGGCCATGAATGCAGAGTCCAAAGCAGAGGAACCTCTAGACAGAGGCCAGGACTGAGGCTATAAAAGGAGCAAGTGGCACAAGGTCAGAAAGTTGAGAGAACCTGTGTGAATTCATGTGTTTATTCTGCCCCGTGAAGTGACTGGGAAGCTCCTGGTGTTAGCACTGGTAGGATGAAGGTCGTTGGCTTAGGGGAGGTGAGAACGAAATTAAGTCACTTTGAGTAAAAAAGTATATCAAACCTGCCCATTTCTGTTTGTGTCTTTGCCTTGAGCATTATGCTTTCATTGAAACGAGTCCTGGTTGTAAGACTGTACCTAAAACAATTTTAGGAAAATTAGAAGTGTATATAAGTAAAAAGAAAAATCAGCTTGCATATGGTGTATTCATTTTCTTTCTATTCATTATGATATCAAAAGATACCTATAGATACATTCTGTTAAAAACTAGGTAATAAGGCCTGGCACAGAGGCTCACGCCTGTAATCCTAGACCTTTGGGAAGGTGAGATGGGCAGATCACCTGAGGTCAGAAGTTTGAGACCAGCCTGGCCAACGTGGTGAAACCGTCTACTAAAAATACAAAAATTAGCAAGGCCTGGTGGCTCATGCCTGTAATCCCAGCTACTTGGGAGACAGCCACAAGAATCGCTTGAACCGGGAAACAAAGGTTGCAGTGAGCCAAGATCGCACCACTATACTCCAGCGTAGGCAACGGAGTGAGACTTTTCTCAAAAAACAAAAAGCAACTAATAATGAAATGATGCTGATTTGTAAACTTGATTTTTTTCATGAGAATAAATTTAAAATACTATTTTATTTCAGTCAGCACTCATCTACCTCACCACTGTTATGGCTACAGGATATCACATTGTATGAGATGACATAATTGATTTAATGAACTCCATTATAGACATTTAGAGCATTTTTAATGTTTTGCTATTAACAAACAACAGTGTGATGAACATCTGTGCATACTATGGACTGCCCTCCTGGTATTTCCTTAGGATAAATTCCCTGAAGTAAATCTATCCATTTTTGGTTATATTAAAAAATAGACCCTAGAAATAGGCTTGGGCTCTAAACTTCCCTTTTGTTGAGGCCCCAACTTGGGAAAGAGGCAGTTTTTTATTGGGCCCAAGGATCATCTACTGGCTTTTACGTGAATTCTCTGTTGACAAAACGGCCACACCTAGCATATCCTTGTGGCTCTCTGTCTCTGACCTCAGGGGTTCTATTTTCCTCAATATGTCATCTGCTAAAGCCTGTAACAGATGCTCAGCCATCTTTGATGCCTCCTGAACATTCAATTCTGTTTGGGAGACAATTGGGCCTGATTAGGTTAATCCTGGGGTGTGTTAGCACTTACTTTTTGACCTGCCTTGTAGGAAATCTGCAATGTGACTCCTTTTGCTGCCATCTGCTGCTTATTTTAAGCCAGGTTCTCAATCTGGGCACTCTCTCAGCTTCTCCAACTCTGCTTGTGAAGCTCAGGTTCTTATAACCTCCAGGAGCCCAACTTTACTTTTCACTAACACCAGAATCAGCAGTGACTCTTAACTTTCTCTTTGTCACACAAGTCTCTATAATTACAAAGTGTCTTCTGTGAGCATCTAAGGCTGTACCTAAGACATATTCAAAATCAAACATATCTCTGGTGACCTCAGAGGCATAACCCTGTATTCCAGCAAGATGGCCCCCTGCCCCAGTGCACACTCATCTGGGTGAGCTGAGTTATCTGGCTAGCGAGTTGGGAGAAAGACTGGCCATATGGAACTCAGCCTCTTCTGCCTGCCCCTCTGGAGAGCCAGCTCCCTGCATCTAACACACGTTCTGCTCCATCCCTCAGCCCTCACTGACCCTCGCTCCGTTTTGCCGGGGCAGGCTGCTGAGTGAGAAAGCCTATGGTTGTCCAGCACTGCCCACACTGGGGAGGCATGTCTGTCCAATGCTGGGGTTCAGTATGGAGCCTTGTGTTGCTGTACTCTTAATGCCACACCTTTTGACTCTTACCTGTTAGGGATGGAGCTGTGCTGCTTCAGAAAACCCCCTCCACGCAGGATGACCACCCCCCTGCCCCGCAGCTGCATTCCTGAACCCCTACCTAGGCGCCACATCAAGGCTGCCAGACCTGCTACAATTAGGCAAAGCCTAATTACAGCTATCAGGATGGCAATTCCTGCTTAACACATATCTGTAAAAGATTCTGGTTTCAGTCTTTTTAAAAGACTGAAAAGGCACAGGGTGATGTATTGTAGGTATGTTGCAAGTTAACGAACTTTCTCTGTGTCTGTTACCTGAAACCCCCTTATGGTCCTCTCATCCCATATAAACCACTCATTTTGTAAGCTCGGAGCTGCTGCCTCCTCTGAGAAGCCCGGCAGGTTAATAAACTTTCTTGCCTGACTTTGGGTCTATTCCCTTTTCTCTCGGCTACCCTTATATTACCTTGTCTCTCAGTGACTCAGAGCTCAGGAGGGAGAAGAAAGGTATTAATTCCTCAGCCCTCTCAGCCCATTAGTGTAATACAGAACGTACCTCCTCATGGAGGCTCCCCTTACCCAGTGACACAACGCTCTTATAGTTCTCCAGCATCACCTCCTTGTAGAGGTCCTTCTGAATGGGGACCAGATGACTCCACTCTTCATCTGTGAAAACCACAGCCACATCTTCGAATGTCACTGATTCCTGAAAATACAATCACATTCTCCCTTACTCTTAATCCTTCTCTTTACTTGGACCAGACCAAAAATGTCAAAGATGACAGCCCTGGAGGATGCATGGTGGGAGGGAAGAAAAATAGTTCTGACTGAGTAGAGCTTTAAAGCATTTGGGAAAAGTGGCCTAATCACCCAAGACATGAAGCTCTTGGTCAGAATCTCATACCACTATACTTACAGCTGAGTTTCTGAATATCAGACTCTTTTCTCAGACTTCTAAAAACAGCACACAAGAAATCCTGTGTACCCTTCACCTGGCTCCCCTAAATGGCAACATTTTCCACATTTGCTTTATCTTTCTGTCTCTTTCTAGATGCACATTCTCCTATCTTTTTTATATACCTCTTGGCGAACTTGCCAACATCATGTGTCTTTAATCCTATATATTTGTGTGTATTTTATAAAAACAAGGACATACTGTTGTTATAATCGCAGTATAACTAGGAGAAAATAGCACTGATTTTATACTATTATCTAATCTACAATCTTACTTAAATTTCACCAATTGTCTTTGTTGTTTACAGATCCTTAGAATAACAGTATTGATTAGATCATCTGTAGGATCTCTCTCATTTCATTCTAAAGCTCTATGATTCTGTAAGATTGCATCTCTGTACCTCCACTTCTAAAACCTCAGATGAGTCTCCTGTGTGTCTACGGAAGTTCTAGGCCAGGGTACAGAATTCACAATTCTGTCCTTGGGCAGGAATGGAACAAGCTACATGTCTCTAGCACATGAGACTCTTCAGGGCCCTTACCACCCCACAGAGGTGCTCTACAGCATGTATTACACGCCCCGGCCTAGACCCATACACCCTGGAACACTGGGACCTCTTCTCAGTCCACACATGAAAAAGGGACATTCAGAACCAGCCCACTATTCCCCAAACCTTCCAATCAGACCCTACCATTGGCTTCTAGGCAAAATCACTCATAGTGAAGGCTCCAACAGTTGTAAGCCTGGTGACAAGCTAATGGACACATGTTCAAGGCAAGAAAAGGTCACTGAAGGACACCTCAAGTCAAATGGGAAGAAAGTACTCCCTATGTAGTCCTTCATCTGCCTGGCTGGGTCTGCTGAAAGAGGCTCCAGGATAGAGAAACAAAAGTGATTACACTCTGGAGATGAGTGGAGTATTTTGGAAACACAAAAGTCCACCTCACCTGGCATCTGGTGGTCGGAGACACAGCAGCCATTCTCTCCTGTGTGCTCTCTTTGTAGACAAGGGCAGAGTCCTAATGAGGCAGAAGTATGGGGTGAGAAAGAAGGTATGAGAAAGGCCAGTCCTGTCACATAGTCTTTTGACCCATGAAGCACACACCAGGGGGATATGTCATTCTCAATACCTTAAAAAAGGGGGTCAAAGTAAAGCAAGGCCAGGAACAACTCCAGACACCATCCCCCCGCCCGCAGAATTAGCACCAACAACCACGGAACTGTGAATTAGACCACAATGTGGTGCTTGTTTTACCATGACACTAGAGGCAGAGTTCTATTCCTGAGTCAAGAACTGTGTAAAATTCATACAGTATGTATAAACTCACATTCAGTATTACCCTGAATCATTACTGGGCAAAAGCCATAAGCAATTTTGTAAATGACTACATGGACAAGATACATAAAAGACAATCCAGTCTCTTCAAAGGAAAATTACTAAAGGAGCTATGAGTGGAGTATTTTTGTTTTGTACCACGTGACCGTGTGTCTCATTCCTGGAGCCACACTGACAAGGCCACAGGTGGGCAAGGCATAGGTGACTAGTAGACTGAGATGTGATCTGGCTTGAAAAGATGACATCCTTCCTTGGGAATGAACTAAGAAATGTCAGGACAACTGGGTGATGAGCTGAATGAGTATCATAAGGTTCCAAAGTAGCCATGAGGATCGGGGAACCAAAGTTACTAGAAGCAGAACCCGTGGGCATGTGGGAGGTACAAGGTAGAGAAAAGGTAATAATAGACCATGGGACCAGAAGCAGGCAGGAGGAAGCCTAGCACAGTCCCATTGGTGGTAAAACACTGAAGCAAAGACCTAAGAATTCCCGGGGAGGCCCCCGCCTCACCTAGCACCACCCACGGGCTCCCATTTCCATGCAAACCAGCCTTATTTATTCATAGATTGCCATGAGACTCTAACCATCTTGGGCTCTGTACAAGACCTTATCACTAATTCCCTTTACGGGGATTAAGTCTCAGTTTTTTACAACGAAGAGTCTAATTAAAATGACAGGCCAGGCACGGTGGTGCATGTCTGTAATCCCAGCACTTTAGGAGGCCGAGGTGGAAGGATCACTTGAGGCCAGGAGTTCTTGAGACCAGCCTGGGCAACATGGCAAGACCCTTGTCTCTACAAAAATAAAATGTACAAAAATAAGACGAGAGCATTAAATCACACATTTCTGGGATTTATGGTGGCTAGGAGATGGTGTGGTCCTGGTGAGGTGGAGGAAAAAGCGTATTTGTGGTACACTGACCATTCTCCTACACTCAAGGGGATATGGTCATTGCTTCTTGTGACTCATTCATCCCTCTATTCAACCAGCATTTATTCAGCACCAACTACTTATACCAAGCACCAAAAAAACCTGTTAGAAGCTGTCTTTGTCCTCCAGAAACTTTGGCTTAGCAGACAGAACAAACAAATAAATGAAATAATATTTCACTCCAGGATGGGTAAGTGCTGCAGAGATGTGTACAGCAATCCATGAGAGCACCTCAGAGGCTCACCTAACCCAGCAGGAAGGAATGGAGGGTGGAACACTGCAGCTTTCTTGACAGGAGTGGGATCTAAGCTAAATTTTCATTTGTGGGAGGAGCTGGAACATTCTAAATGTTGAGGAAAAAACGTGTTGAGGAAAAAATCAAGTTTTTCAAAAAGGAGGAGGCAGGTCTTTACATGGAAAGGATTAACAACTAAAATTAGCTTAGAATGGTGGAAGTCTAGGCTGTGAGTAGTGCTGTGGGGAAAATGAGGCTGGAGAAGTAGGCAGCGGCCAGTTTCACCGAGGAGAGCTCTGCATGCCTTTCTCTACAGGCATGGAGATTACTGAAGGTGCTGGGCATGGGCATGTCATTACCCACATCTGTGCTTTAGGAAAATCACTGTGACTTGTAGCAAGGGCCTTGAAACATACTGTTTGACCCAACAATTCTCTCTTAGGAATTTATACTAAGGAAATAAGTAATAATATATGCAAAGCTTTTTATGACTCATCATTAACATTAACCTTTATTGACAGCTTTGTGCCAGGGCACTTCCTGAGCACTTTACATGTATTACCTAATTTAATCTTTTCAATAACTTGAAAAGATTAAATTTTGAAATACCTTAAACATCTGGAGATTTGGTTAAGTAATTTATGGTCCAGTCCACATATACAATGTAACACTATTAAACATTATCTTCTTTTTTTTTTTTTTTAAACGGAGTTTCACTCTTGTTGCCCAGGCTGGAGTGCAGTGGCATAATCTCAGCTCACTGCAACCTCCGTCTCCTGGGCTCAAGCGATTCTCCTGCCTCAGCCTCCCAAGTGGCTGGGATTACAGGCGTGCACCACCACACCCAGCTATTTTTTGTATTTTTAGTAGAGACAGGGTTTTACCATGTTGACCAGGCTGGTCTTGAACTCCTGATCTCAGGTGATCTGCCCACCTTGGCCTCCCAAATTGCTGGGATTACAGGCGTGAGCCACCACGCCTGGCCTAAACATCATCTTAATAACAACTAGCATTATTGAGCATTTGCTATTTGCCAGGTATTGTGCTAAGTGCTTTTTTTTATAAGGTTAATTTAACTTCATCCTCATAAATCAATAAGGTAGGCACTATTTTACAGATTAGGAAATTAAGGCTTTGTAAGAAGCTGAGGTAAACCTGAACCCAGGTCTGCCTGGGAACTTTTAACTTTTATGCTATAATGATTTATTTTCCTGAAAAGATAGCCACATCAATTACAGACCAATAGACTAGAACAGAAAATCCCAAAACATAGCCAAGCATTAGGGAAGCCCGATATATGACTGAGGTAGCATTAAAAGTCACTGGGGAGAAGATCACTAGTGATAAACTGCAAACAACTTCAATGTCCATTAATCAGATAACAGATTTGTGAATATATATACATATATGAATATTATACATTATCTCATGTTGACAGAGATAAATTGCAAAAAAATAATTACTGAGCAAAAAATAAGTTATAGGATGACTTACTGTATAATATTTACATAGAATTTAACAACAGGTAGATCATACCCGCAAAAATCTATTAACACATGGGACAATAAGCACCAAATGTGCACATATCTGAGAAGAGAGGAAAACAAGACTGGGGAGGGATACCCAGGAGACTTCAGCTTTATCTGTAATGCTTTGTTTCTTACAAAACAAAACAAAACAATCAACAACTGAAAACCAGAAAGAATGGCCAAGCACAGTGGCTCATACCTGTAATCCCAGTCCTGTGGGAGGCCTAGGCAGGCAGATCACTTGAGGTTAGGAGTTCAGGACCAGTTTTGTCAACGTGGTGAAATCCCATCTTTACTAAAAATACAAAAATTAGCCAGGCATATTGGTGCATGCCTGTAGTCCCAGCTACTCTGGAGACTAGGGCAGGAGAATTGCTTGAACCCAGAAGGCAGAGGTTGCAATGAGCTGAGATCATGCCACTACACTCTAACCTG